ACACAGTTTGACACAGTCCGTCTCTGTGCTTAAGATTATTGTATGAGAATCTAATCGGATTATGAACTTAATTGATAGACAGACATAATGGTATTGGATCAGGTGCAATACACACAATCTATTACGCTTCATCATACTGTTTCACAAATTTGTTCAAAATTAAATAAATGTGGCTCACTTTTGTTTCGTTTGTTTCTTATAATGTATAGACACATATAAATTTATATATTTCATGTTTGTGAATGGTCTACGCACGTCGGCTCCCGACCGACTTTTAAATGTCGTCATTGAAGCATGAGAAAACGCATGTTTTGCTCATCAGTATATTGCTTTGTAACACTAAGTGCAAACATACACCGGAATTACTCAAACGTCTTACTCCATAATATTTACAAAAATTCTTTCATTGGAACGACAAAAAGCGCGTATTACTATACACATTCGGCTGGTTATGTGGCAAGTTTTATAAAAACACTTGCTACTATAATACCGCTAGCTTATACCTGTTCCAACTTGATCATCATGTAAATGATCACCAAGGTATCATAAGCTGCAACTGCAGGTGAACGGCATTCTAAATGCATCTCATTGAAGAATGCTACGTAGCTCATTCGATCATATTTTCGAGCCGAAGAAATATTTTCCCTCTATCTTGTGTAAATATTCAAATGTGCTGGGTCCTGAATTTTCATGGTCTGAGGCAAAATGTAATGTTAAAGTGCATGGCTGTTCCTATAAATGACACGTCAAACTACCAAACAACAAATCACGCTTCTCTGGTTCAAAAGTTCCAGAGAGAATAGTCAAGAAGATCGTCGTTCCTTTTCGTACAAGATTGGCTCAGATCAGCCCCTCACAACAAGGCTTTCTCTTAAAACACTTCTACATTACCGGCCAGCTACTACCATTCGACCATGTTACGACCATGCTTCACAGCGGAATGGCAATCAGTATAATTATATTAGGCATGCAAAAGGCATTCGACCGCTCGTCACGAGCCACTGCTGTCTATTCTAGAGTCATTTGGCATTACTAATCCTCTGGTAAACGGTTCGACTCATTCACCAACCGTCCAACCCAGGTAGTTGGAATCGGTCAGCAATGCTCAACACCGAAAGAGATAACCAGCGGCGTACTCCAGGAAAGTGCAGGCTGACCACTATTTTTTGAATCTATGTGAACAACATATGCGACCCGATAAACATTGAGGCTGATTTCTTTTCGCGTGTGACGTTAAACCGGTCTACTCATCGTATCCAGACCGACTACAGACCTGCCAGGGAAGCTTCTGTTAAGACCTACCTGGACTAAATAAAATTAGTTAACACCCACTAGTGAAATTCTACTCAGTAAAATCCCAAGTATATGGGTATAAATGTCGCATTCCGGAATGCTACCACACTTGAAGGCAACGTGATCCCAACGACTGATACAGCTTGGGAGTTAGGAATAAGTTACTCCAACTCTTCCAATTTCTCCGAAAATGTGCTTCGTCAGGTTGCAAAAGCAAGGCACCTATGTGGATAAATCAACAGAACCTTTGCGTCATTAAATATAATAGTACGACCAGCGTCGGAATACTGTATTATCGATCACAGCCACTTATTCAAGAAAGACAAAACGGCTCTGGAAAATATCAAACGATCATTTACAAAGCAAGTCATGGAGCGCTGCTTAAACCCGAGATTTTATGATCGCTGTCGATAACTCCAAATGAATCCTTTCTTGCTGCGACGCCTAATGATTAACCTTCTCTTCTACAACATTAGTAAACAACGAATTTACACACAGCACTGCACTTGAGCTGAGGAATACAACAATCTACCCTACACGTAATGTAGTCTGTTTGCTACGCACAAAACTTACAAGTCGTCGTACTAGATCTAATTTCCTTTCAGTGGGATACACCAAACTGTGGAACAATGTACCCCTACCGATTGCAAAGCATGTCAACTTCCGAACATCCCTACAGAATTCCTCATCCTATCAAATGTGTTGATGATATTTGACTCAAAACAAAGTCTAGAAATTTTAACGCGCTTTGGTATAAAAAACGTTTGGACAGCTAGTTCCTTACAACTAGCTTGCCCACAACGTATCATTATTTAGAAAACCAAATCCTGTGTTTGTACAACCTATTGTTTTTCATTTTGTTATCTAATTCTGAGTTCAACAAACTAGAAAATGATGATAAAATGTCCGTGCATTGTACATATCAGATGCCCGAGTTAAGGACAGAATGAAAATATCATGAACCGAAATGCTGTTATTTTTGTTTCTTCGATATTATGAAATTAGGTCGCATAAGAGAGGAAAATTATTCACTAAACCAATGATTGCGCCTGCTTTTAGCGCCGTTTGTAGCTTGTTGTTTTATGTAAAAATTTCTTTAATTTTTATTTAAATTTTCCTCAGATGGTATATGAATTTTAATCGGCAACACATTAAGTGTAAACAACTTGATTCGAGCAAGTGCGCTAGCTGTTTTCGTTTAAACTTCATACTACATAGATGTCTGACGTATGTAATGTTGTATATGCAATAAAGTTTCTTCTGATGGTTTTATTACTGCAGTTATCGACACTAAATCCGTACCGCATGTTTGGTAGTGCAAAGCAAGTAAACCGGAAACGTGGAGGCGAATAACGCTGAGCATGTTGGCATGCTGCCAGCATGTCTTGTAGTCTCTAGGATATGGTTCTGCCTCCATGAATAGGTTGAATCTTGAATGCTTCATTTTTCGGGGCCTCATATTTTCAACATAAAACGGGTTTTAAGATCTAAAACACAGCCTGAGGCAAACACTTATTAGCAATGATTTTCTACTGGCCGGTAAAACGCATAAGGTTAAATTACTCAGAAATATGCGGTGATTTATCCACACACACACGTCGGTGGTTAGGCAAACAAATACTTCGTAGCTGCTTCATTCACACAACTCGATCATGTTTACGTAAGCATACAGAAGAAACAGGTGCCAGAGCGACAGTTGGCTTGACTGCAGTTTGGATAAGGCAAATAGAGAGACTGAATAAAGAGTTTGAGAGCTTCCATGTGGGTTGGAATATCCGGATTTCCAAAGCCTCTTCTGTGGTGAGCGTTATTATAAGCATATACCTCGATTTGGTTGTGGAAACCTTGGAAACCATGGTAAGCACGATGGGAAGGTTAACTTTGTGACCTGCTTTGAATAAAGAGGACAAAATGTGGTTTGTAACGATGCCATGCCGCTGTTCGCCGACCGCTTAGGAGTGTGTTCCCCAAATAGGCATGACGGTTGACGGTCCGTTTTACAAATATTTGTAGCACTACAAGGGACCACTTATGGTTGGTCCATGTTGCACACAGTAATTATCTGGTTTTTAGCAAAGACAAATTACAGTGGCACAGCTTGGAAGGTCATCCTTAACTATTGTGGGCATGCATTCTAAAAATTAGCAATTACATCATCCTTAAAGTTAAGGCAAATGAAAAATGCCCTCTTTTAGGTCATTGCTTGACGTTCGATGTTACTTTCTAGCTACGTGTTGCTTGTGATTAACCTTTCCGGATAACCATTTTGGCGCAACATGTTTTGTGGGAATTTCATCTTATATTCCAAAACGCCATCTGAGGAAATAATTCGTGCCATCGAGGTGGGACGGCCTAATAGATTACGCTCCTTTTAAAGTGGTACAAAGTCACTGAAGATTGTATGAATCCCGGACAACATTTTTCTTTTGATCCCCTTTAATCCAACAGCTTGACATGTGAGTGCTGCGTCGACGTCTCCGGATGATTGCAACCAATAACGAGAGCGTAAGCCAGGTGCAGTTAATTCAACAACCCCGTTAGGGTCATTGATCCTAGTTTCGGAAACGCTACATACATCAATACCCAGTGTGTCCAAGATGCGTGCGGGTGCCACCCACTGGACTACTTGTCTTACAGTACGAACTGTGAACGTCGCCACGGAAACGGGACAGCTAGAGTTATTAGGGTTTGTTGCGGGGCGTGTCACGAGGAGTTGGCTGCAACTGGTTCTGCTCTAGTGGTAATTCGATTGCCGTTAGTTAAGCTGGGAATCATAGCAGGTTAATCATGGGGGTAGATATGGGAATAGGAGAAACAGGTGGAA